AAAAATAATTTATTAATATTTTAATATTTTTTTAAATTTATTAAAATAATAAAAAATAAATTAAAAACAAAAAAAAATCTTACAAATTAAAAAGTTGAATAAGAATGAAATTAAAAAAAAATATAATTTCATAAATTATATTAAATAAAATAAATAATAATTAAAATAATAGATATTAAATTTAACATATTAAAAAATTAAAATATAATAAAATTAAAGTAATTGTAATTATAAATAAAATAAATAACAATTAAAAAAATAAATTAAAAAATTATTAAAAAACAAATAACAATTATAAAAAAAAATCTAAATTTTAAAAAATATTTTTTATCTCAATAAAAAAATATTAAAAAAATAATTTTTTTAACTAATTTTTTTTTATTAACCAACCTTTATAATTATAAATAAATATAAAAGTAATTATAAAAATAATTTTTAAAAAATTCCGCTAAACAAACAAAACACTAAATGAGCTTTTGTTTTCTCTCTCTGGAACGATCAACCCCAACCAGAGTTTTCAAGCACATCTTTCCCTTGACGATGATGGTTTTGACGAGTCTATTTTGGAGGAAACTGATGCAATTTATGAGCAGAAGTCTTTGTGAAAGTGGGGAAGAAAGGGCTGAATATGATGTTTTGCAGGGCTTGAATGATATAACTGGTGGAGATAAGATGTTTAGAGAAAGGAAAGAGAGGCTACGAGAGAGAAGAGATGAAGAGAGGTAAAAATCTTATATTTGAGTCATCTGCTCTGTTTTTCTAGTTTTAACACCACCACCATTAAAAAAAAACCCATCTTGAAAATAGAGAGAAGACAATATGAACAACCAACTTGAATCCAAGTCCACCATTACCAATGGAATCCAGATCCAACAATTAATAAGCCTCCATCAAACTTACAAGTCAAATTTATCAATTTATGGGGCATTCAAAGTTGACTGGTGATTTTGATGACTCTTCACAAACATTCATTCCTGTAACAAAATTATAAAAAACAAACGCAGCGAGTTGAGGAGAGTTAGGGCTCAGCTTTGACTGGGTTTTGATCATGGAGACAAATTCTTTGCCATGGAGTTTTTGGGCTTCAACCAAATAAGTCATCCGGTTAGCACCGACAAGAAAATAGCGATACAATCGAGCCATTGAAGAATTAATTTGGTGATTTTAGGGTTCGTGAAATTGAAAAATCATGGTAATTCTGGGTGGGTTTCATAAGAGAAAAAGAAAGAGAATTCTAGTAGTGCAGACTCATCAAAATCATGTAGAGAAGCGCAAATTTAGGTTGAAGTGATTAAACAAATTGACTGAAATACTAGATTAGGTCTTGATTTGGGTTTAGGATTGTGTTCCTGACGAGAAAAGAGAGAAATCTTGTTTAAAGTTTAATTTTTTTTAATTGATCTGTTGTTTGTTTATTTTATAATGTATTATATATGATGATAGATTTTTTTTTAATCTAAAAATTATTTTAATCTAGATAAGATTTATAATTTTTAAAAAAACAGAGGTATGATAAAACATAACTAAATTATAAAACTAGCAACAAGATTTTATTTTAAAAAAAAATTCAAAAGTTTTTAAGTGCAATTTTACTTATTTAGTTGTGATTTAAGACTTTTGCATCAGGTCGGTATCAGATTTAGAACACTCGAGAGTTAAGCCAAGTATATATTTGAGATATCTAAGGGTTGGACCGATCAAAATCAAAGATGCTAGAGATAAGCTTTAAGTATGTTATAATTTTGTTTTTTAATATGTTTTGAAGAATAGCCTGTTTTTCTTCGGTATCTTCTTATGTTTTTATAAAATGTTTTTTTTACCGGCTATATATTATTTAATATTGTGTTATTGACCCTTAATTTTAGTAATTTATTATGATTTTTTTTAAGTTATATTTATTTTATATCTAGAGTCTTAATTTTAGTAATTTATTATGATTTTTTTAAAGTTATATTTATTTTATATCTAGAGTAGAGTAGGTATAAGGAGTATTTAAAAATGAGTTTTAACCTATTTTTTATTAAAATTCAATTATTATTTTAAATTAATTTTTTTATTATTTTTGGATCATTTTAATATATTGATATGAAAATTAATTTTTTTAAATAATTTTTTTGATGTTTTTCTAGGTAAAAAATACTTTAAAAATAATCGTTACCACAATTTTAAACATCCTCTTAGGGTGTGTTTGGTATTGCGGTAGCTGTTGTAATTGTGGTTTGAAAAAAATTATTTTATAAAAAGTATTTTTTAGTTGAGGCTGATTTGAAAAAATAGGTGTTTGGTTAAAACTGCGGTAGAAATTGAGGTCGGAGAAAAAATAGTTTAATGTGTTTGGTTAAAAATACTTTTGAAATTGAGGTTATAAAATAATGTTAAAAAATATATATTAATATTAATGGTTTTAAATTTAAATATTGTAAAATTAATTACTCCTATTACATCATAAAATAAAAAATACTTTATAAAAAATATTTTTTATTATTCCATTAAACTATTTATAATTCTATTACGTACAAAATGCATATGATAAGAATTACAGTTTTCATAAATTTTTGAGCGTAGATAAAATATTATTAGGTATAAAATTGATATTACAGTGTAAGTGAATTTAATTCACTCTATACTAGTTTTTTGAGAAAAAAAATATTTTTGATATCACAATGCGAGTGAATTTAATTCACTTTAAACTAGTGTTTTTCTTAAAAAAAATATTAAAAAATTTAACACACTAAAAAAACATGAACAGTGTAAGAGAATTGCACTGTTCATATAAACAATGCAAACAATGCAAGTGAAACATTAATGAAATATATATATATTCCTATACTCAATGAGAAATAACAAAATTAAAATGATTGAAGGCATTTTACAAAAGATAAAAGTTGTAGAGACAAACAAAACAAGAAGTTATAATATATATATATATATATATATAACATGAACAATGCAAGAGAATTGCGTTCATGCGAATATTGCAAACAGTGCAATTCATTTGCATTATTCATGTTAATTGTACTGTTCACTGAATAATGCAATTAGCATGCACAATGCATAAAAAGCATGAATTCGTTGCTTTTCATTACTTGCGTTCCGAATGTAAAAAACATGTGAGACTCATGAACAGTAACTTACTTTTTTTTCATTACTAAACGGCTACTAACTACGTTTTCAATGAAACGCAGCCGTAGCCGTGTAGCCAAACACCATCTTAGTAGAGTTAACTCAGATTGATTTTAGTTGTTTTTTACAATTGAATTTTTTTTTTAAGTTTATCCTTTAACATTAAATTATTGGCCCATAAACTTCGTGATTTTTTTCATGTGACCTTTATGCACGATTCTCTCGGTTGTAGGTTAGTCAAGTTAACATATGTTGGCTTATTTTTTTTTCATTTTGTTTTTCATTGATTTAACTTTGATTTTTTAAAATTAATTTTTTAATCCTGATCTCATATCACACACTTGACGGATTAATAGAATTAACTCGAGTTGACTTGTGTTTTCTTTTCAATGTTTCTTTTTTAGAAATTGATTTTTTTGCTTTACTTCCACCCTTTGACACTAGGTTACTAAGTTTTGAATTTTATGATTTTTTATTTTATTTTTTTTCATAAAGTTATCCTTATTTTATATTATGAGTTACATGTTAATCAAGGTAACATGGATTGACTTTATCATCATCCAGATATCTTTATTTATTTTTTTAAAAATCTTGATTTGGCTGCAAACTACCACTCTAGTTACTACTATTTAGGGTTTAAATTTCAAATAATATAAAAAAAAATACTTTTATAAATATAATGATCCGAGCATGAGTTATATATAATCCAATAAAAAGAATCTTGTATTTAACTTAATCAAAGTTGGGACTAAATTCATTTTGCTTATAATAAGGCAAAAAAACTACATGGTCATGCAAAAAAAATATAATAGGACTGTACTATGTCATGTATAAACCACTATATAAATAGATCGTGTTTATGTATTTTGTAGTTTCAAACCATGCTAACTTGAGTTGGTTATTATAATTTATTTTTTTTATTTTTTTTAGTATTAAATTATTGATTCTTGAATTTTATGATTTTTTTATATGATTTTTATGCACGATTATCTCGGTTACAAGTTAATCAAGTTGATATATGTTGGTTCATGTTTTTTTTTTCATTATTTTTTTGATTGATTTAATTTTGTTCTTTTTCTCTAGATCCTTTTTTAATTCCGATCTCATATCATCCTTGGTGGGTTATTAAAATTAACCCAGGTTAACTTGTGTTTTTTCTTCGATGTGTTTTTTTAAATTGATTTTTTTTTATTTTTACCCTTTGACACTATGTTATTGAATTTTAAGCTTAATGATTTTTTTTTAAGTTATCTCAATCTCATATATTAAATTATTTGTTGATCAAGTTAACATTGATTGAATTTATTATCATCTAAACATCTTTATGCATTTTAATTTTTTTTTTGATCCGGTTCGCAATATAACAAGACCTACCACTCTAGTTACTATTATTCGGAGTTTAAATTTCAAATAACATCATGGAAAATATTTTTATAAATACAATGATTCGAGCATGAATTATTTGTAATCCAATAAAAAAAGGATCTTGTATTTAATCCAATCAAAGTTAGGACTCAATACATTCTGCCCACAATAAGGCAAAAACAGAAATGCATGGTCATGCACAAAAAAATATAATTGGACCGTACTACGTCATGTATAAACCACCACACAAATAGGTAGTGGTTCTGTATTTCAGAGCTTCAAAAATCATGCTGGCTATGAACAATCAAAATCTAATTTTAGAAGTGTACGAAAGAGATTCCATCCTTTCTTGAGGGACTAATCCACCCTAAAACGTCGTTGGCATTGTTTGTCATGACTGAGCCTTTAACCTTTTATTCTTAAACAACCAATCCAGTTGACCAGGTATCTCACAAAAAAAAACTGAAAAGAAATCGAAAAGTGCCATAAAACAACACAGAAGGACCCTTCCTTTCTGGTGCCAGTCTAACCTGGCATCCCCCATGATAACAGATATTCCACTGCTGCATTTTCTCCTGGCCCCCAATCTCATCCTAGCTACTACTTCCAACAACATCACGACAAACCATTGAAGAATTCAGAGTTTATTTCTATGTTTTCCTTATCTCATCGCGAAGCCACTTTCCTTTCTTTTATTCAAGGTGATTTTGGTTTACCTTCTCAATGCGCGCATTGCCTTTCATTCTTTAATATTTCTTTGGGTTCATAGTGCGCTATTTAGTATCGGTGCAAAGGTCGATCTCTAGTATCTTGTAATCCATCACAAGAAATTAAGAAAGTCAAGCATCGATCTTTATCTGTTTTAGCATTCATTAATCGGTGGGTTATTATCTTGGGGAATTCAACATGTAAATCAGGAGGCCTGGAGGCTTAAAGGCATGCGCAATCTTGATGGGGCGAAACAGAAGCGGGCACATCATCCCCACCTATGTGATCTTTCCTCTGCTCTTGTTATTATTTTCACCTGTTCATGGCTTAACAAGCTATGACCCGGAGTCTTTAGATGCATTGATTCACAAACACGCAATGAAGGCGCAAGCAAAGAAACGTTCAGGTACTTCATTAAATGTCTCTCTCCCTGCTAATTTCTCTGGAATCGAAGTCTCAGTTGTTAGGCTAAGAAGTGGTCATTTCTGGGAAAGAGGAGTCAATTTCAGTTCTTTTTATATCCCGCCAAGGGTTCTTCCATTTCCATTTGTGAAGAGACTATCTATAGTATACCAGAACTTGGGGAATTGGTCTACTCGTTATTACAAGGTGCCTGATTATTCATTAGTTGCTCCTGTTGTTGGCTTCGTGGCCTACGATGCTTCAAATTTAAGTGCACTGGGTAATGAAGCACTCAGGTTTAGCATTCGGGGTGACCCCATTTTGATCAGCTTTCCAAACCTTGAGATAAAAGGTAAGCTTGAGACATTAAAATGCGTCAAACTTGGTCCAGATGGATTTGTCCAATTCAGAAACATAACCAAGGAAAACACCTGCATCACACAAGGTGATGGTCATTTTTCACTTGCTGTTCAAAATCCTGAAGTAGAGAAGAATATCAGAGTATGGAAATGGTATGTGGTTGGATTTGGAGCTGGGTTTTTCGCATTGATTTTGTCTGGTGTGATTGGATACACCACTTTCAAACTAGTGAGGAGTAAGAAATTAAGAGGAATGGAAGCGGAGTCTGAAAATGGGGTGGCTCTTCATGCAACTTCAGTCGGAAGAAGTAAAATGCCTTCAGCATCAATGGTAAGAACCCAGCCAACCCTTGAGCAAGACTATGTTCCTTGACTTGCATTCCAGTATAACTGTAGCTTTTCACTCCTTTCAATCTTGGAGTGATGACACCTTCCCCCCCTTAATTTTTCAATTCCCCTTAATGTTTCAATTGATGATAGCAGAATTGTTTGTAATCTTGATACATGTTCTCAGAGTTGAGGCAGCTACATTTGAGATTTGTTTGTGAGAATTAAGAAATTTATCCTCTGATATTGATTACTATCCTCTGATACATGTCCAGTACTTCTGGTTGGATCAATTTGCACTTCTTGGAACCAGGTTTTGTTAGGTCGGCAACCTGGCTCTTGTGATTGTAGCATTCACTGGAAATCAAGTGTTGGAACACTACTCGTGAACAACAACACAAGATACAATATTCCGAGTTAAAACGGTCCCAGAAGCAATTGTTTGTGATTTCAACGACTGCACGAGCCGGCTATTGCTAATCATATTTACCAAAAACAACAATAATCTCATCTCACACACCTAAAAGCATTGAAAGAGAAAAATAATTTCTTTTACTAAAAGAAAAACATTTTCACTGTAATTTCTTGGTCATTCCTGTCATAAAAATTTTAATACAACTTGTCTCAATATTTCTTACACGCATACACATATATATCACTATCTTTACTGATTTGCTTAACTTAACGTAGCTTAACATTTCTACAAAGGTATATACAGTTTGCTAGAGTTTCTTTCTCCAAGCTTGATTTTAATTTGTATGTCTGAACTCTTTAGTTTTAAGAACTACGAAAATTAAGTCTTTTTTGATTATGAGATATTTGTCATCTCCTCGCAAGCATAATCTTATATATTACAGCCAAGGAAATATTTATTGAACGCGCAAGGTAATTTAAAATATATTTGAAAGCACAAAACTTCATGTCCAAAATATAATAAAAAATCATAAACTTTGCATTGCTGGGAATACTGTGGAATTATTATACACCTTCGCTAGAGTTAAAAATAAAATAAAATAAAATGAACTTGTTTGTGTCAACACGCTTTTCCTCATGGATAATTGGTTAATAATATTTTTATTTTATTTTATTTATGTGGGGTATCCGGGCCAGCTTGCGTGCACCACGACTAATCCCCACGGCCCACTGAATACCCTGCAAACCCAATAGACATGTAAGGCACCGCAAAGGTGACAGGCGTGCATATCAGGGCTCGAACCTAAGTGCAATGGAAAGAAACAAGCCTTTTCTACTACTAGACCAAGCCCTAAAATGCATAATTGGTTGTGTCTTAAAGAGCTGGGAAGCAGCATTAATGGAAGTGCAGTGTACTCTTTAGGACGTTTATTTGCCCCCAATGATGGGGTTTCTAACTAGCAAGGCCACTTTCTGACTCGGAAGTTTGATCGTTGTTGATGCTCACTTCTCCTGACTTACATTGCTCGACCAGAAAATAGAAAAAGATAAAGGATGTACCAGAATATTACCGCGCCCATTAACACCATCACTAACACCCCTACTCTCCAAGTTCTGAGCTGTTTAGGAGTTCAGGGGAATGCAAACTGATCTTTATTTTGGGCTTTTATTGTTGAAATTACTGTTTATAAATAGAAACAAACATATAAAGTTGGTTTTCAGAAGATAAAAATATTGTTTTTAAGATGTTTATTTATTTCATATAAAAATAATAACTTTAAAATATAATTAAATTCTTTAAACTTCTGAAAAATCAAGGAGAGACTATGAAAAAAAAAAGTATGTTTGTTTTTTTGTATATATTTTCTTTGTACAATAACAATTTTATTAGATCTGAAATTTTATAATTAAATATTATGTTTGTTAATATTGATGAAACAGTATAACTGTTAATAAAATAATTATAGTCTAAATTAAATTAAATAGTTGTTATTCAATTTTATTTTAATAGTTATAAATGTTAAAATTAATTATAAAAATTAAAGAAATAAATTCAATAAACAAATTAATCTTACTAACTTTTGATATTATAAATATTCATATAATATCATTAACAATTAACAAGCTAATTTTAAAAGCTTATCCATTATTGTTTTCATTTAATTTATTATATCATAGAAATTCAAATGTACAAATACTTAGAAGAAAGTGTTTTTCTTTCTAATATATAATAAATATCGTTTTTTTATTCATTGACAACCTACATTAACATTATTCGGGTACTAAAATTCAATGTGTCCAACATATAATCTCTATCGCTCAAGTCTAGAGATCAAGTTCATGCTAAGGAAGTGCTTGATGAGGAAAAAAAATGACGAGCTGGTAGTAATTACGAATTTGAAACCATGTTTAAATCATTACTGCCTCCTTCATCACCTGAAAAGGCTTCTACAAGTACTTGAATATCTAAGATGAAAAACCGCCTAACACATCTTGAGACATGTGCATCATCTTGGAAAAACAATGAATGTTCATTTTTTTTCCCTATAATATTCATGTATTTTTACCTCTCTATTGTATGTATGTTTTTATTGATGACAAAATGGGATAAAATATATATGAATTATGAGAAATGTGTTAATAACATATATATTTAGGGGGAGAAATCTATTTTTTCTTCATGCATAAGCTATTATTAATGCAAATTATTTTTGAATATTATGCAATCTTTTTTATAGTTAATTAGATTACGCTAAATTGTTAAATTTCCCCATGTATTGCATTGCAAAAGAAAGAGAGAGATATATTTTTATATTTAAGATTATATATTTATTGTCACCATAAAATAAAAAAGAGTTTGTTGACTTTTAGGTCATATGTTTTTGTTTTTATATATTTTGATAATAACAATAAAATGAGAATTGGACTAACAATATGCTTGAATGAAAATAAAAGTTAAACAAGTTTTATACAAGGATCATATCAACAAACACAAAGAATTTTATAAAAAAACTCAGTCAAGAAATCTAAGAAGTAAGCAAAGTAAAGACTTAAAATTTAAATGTTCAATGTGCTTTTATAAATATGTATATCTCATCTTGATAGTATAATTAAAATGAATGCATATAATTCATTATGCATACATTTTAAATAATTGATTAAAAACTTAATATATGGTTCTAAAAATCCACATAGCTTAAAACTAATAAATATAGTATTTTGTATGAACCGGTAAACTATTTGGTATTACCAAATGAATTGTTTGATCTCTTATTCATTATCGATGAACACTTGGAAATTCCGCACTGATCAACCATTTTAGTTGTTAGCTATTGTAACAGCTATAGACAGTTAGTTTTTACTCTAAACATATATATAGCTTATCTAATTATAAAATTAGATATAGATTCTAAAGATGCATAATATATAAGCTATTTTAAGCGCAAAAACACTACAAAATCATTAATAAGTGATTATACTCAAATTTGTGTAATCAAAATTTCATAATCTAGCATAAAAGTATATATTCTCATTTTTATTATACTTAAACACTTTCTAATCCTATAAGTGTTATCTTGTGAGATATTAACATATAGCAAGTTTCAATTGTGATATCTACACTATTAAAAGAGTAAATTGTAATAATAAAAATCACACTTGTAGATCCTTGAGAGTTAGGGAAAGACTCTTAGTATTGATAAGGTATTTTCACTAAGAAAAAAATCTTGAAGAGAATATATTTTCAAGTGAGAGAAAAATATTTAAAAAAAAACATCTTCAAGTAGTGTAAAAATCTTGGTGTTGATTCATCAAGTAGTTATTGTACTCTATAACTTAGACAAGTAAAAAAATATAATATTTAAGTACATTATGGTACTTAAAGTGTGGATATAGACTTGCCAAACTACATTAAAAATCAAGTTTGCAAATTCTTTCCCTTACCTATTTATTTTAAGTATTTAATTATATTATTGGTTATATTATTTATTTGAATTAATTTACATTAATTGTTAATATTAGAGACTCACCTAATTCACTCCTTCCTCAAATGTTATAGTTATCTTAAACCTAGAATAAAACCAACTTAAAATATAAGACAAACATTCACTCTGATCCCCCCTGCTTTTATTTTTCAACTTATTCCTATAGTTTTTAAAAATTTAAGTTTGATTTAAAACTTTATTTTTTTTATTTTTTAATCTCTGGTTTGAAAGAAAAGAGAGAGAAAGTCACTAGATTTTTAAGATGAAAAAAAGAAAATCAATTGTTGATATCAATTTTGATAACAAAAAAAAATTGATCTTAATGTCAATGGTTTCATTTAACAAAAAGAGTTTAATGCTTATAGATTTAAACCTTAATCTTGCCTAAACAAAGAGAGCAAGATATGGAGAGAATTTTTTACTAGTTTGATTTGTATTTTTAAATTGTTATTTTAAATATTTTGATTGATAAATTGGTTTTATGATTTTCTAAGAATGTTTATTAAATAATTTTAGATAAAAATAAGTTAAAAAGAGTTGTAATGAAAAAATAATTTTTACCTGATTTTTCAACAGCATAATAATGATTGAATTATAGGCAAGTAAACATGTCATTTACCTTTCTTTCTTTCTTTTTCAGAAAACCCATTAAAAAAAGAAAAGAAAAATTAAAATGACTCAAACATGCACCTAGGATAGAAGATTCACATGTTTAAGTTTGATTATAAAGGCTCAGCTGGGCACCTACACTAGGCTTGCACAACTGAGTTTATCTTTTTATTTTTTTTATTTTGTACATTGTTTTTTGATAAATTTTATAGGGTTTTTAGTTTTTATTTTTTTAAATTTTATTCTTCAAGAAAATAATGTGAATATATAATGGTGAATAAATTAAACAATTTGTTTTTAATTTATGTCATTACATATTTGAATTGCTAAGCGAGATATTTTTTCAAAAATAAAAAGCTATAACAAAATACACAACCTAAAAAGCATATATGTACAACCAAATTAATAACTAAATATATTTTAAAATAGTTAAAATATAATTATTTTTAAAAATTAATGTTAAAATATATTAATTAATATATTTACCACATAAAATGTTAGCAAAAAAAAAACAGATTAAGATATTATTTAATAAATTTTTATACTACAATGACTAATTAAGTAGTTTCAAGGAATTATAAAAATTAAATTATAGCTCTTATTTTAATATTAATTC